GCAATGACATGCCATGACACACCCCGACATGCCGTGACACACCAGGAGACACAGCGACATGCCACGACACACAATGACACACCATAACACGCTATTACACGCCATGACACGCTGTGACACGCCATGACACGCAATGACACGCCGTGACACGCAATGACATGCCATGACACGCTATTACGCGCCATGACACGCCCTGACACGCCATGACACACCATGACATACCAGGAGACACAGCGACATGCCATGTCATGCAATGACACACCATAACATGCTATTACATGCCATGACACGCCACGGCACCCCATGACACGCAATGACATGCCATGACATGCAATGACACGCCATGACACGCAATGACACGCAATGACATGCCATGACACACCCCGACATGCCGTGACACACCAGGAGACACAGCGACATGCCACGACACACAATGACACACCATAACACGCTATTACACGCCATGACACGCTGTGACACGCCATGACACGCAATGACACGCCGTGACACGCAATGACATGCCATGACACGCTATTACGCGCCATGACACGCCCTGACACGCCATGACACACCATGACATACCAGGAGACACAGCGACATGCCATGTCATGCAATGACACACCATAACATGCTATTACATGCCATGACACGCCACGGCACCCCATGACACGCAATGACATGCCATGACATGCAATGACACGCCATGACACGCAATGACACGCAATGACATGCCATGACACACCCCGACATGCCGTGACACACCAGGAGACACAGCGACATGCCACGACACACAATGACACACCATAACACGCTATTACACGCCATGACACGCTGTGACACGCCATGACACGCAATGACACGCCGTGACACGCAATGACATGCCATGACACGCTATTACGCGCCATGACACGCCCTGACACGCCATGACACACCATGACATACCAGGAGACACAGCGACATGCCATGTCATGCAATGACACACCATAACATGCTATTACATGCCATGACACGCCACGGCACCCCATGACACGCAATGACATGCCATGACATGCAATGACACGCCATGACACGCAATGACACGCAATGACATGCCATGACACACCCCGACATGCCGTGACACACCAGGAGACACAGCGACATGCCACGACACACAATGACACACCATAACACGCTATTACACGCCATGACACGCTGTGACACGCCATGACACGCAATGACACGCCGTGACACGCAATGACATGCCATGACACGCTATTACGCGCCATGACACGCCCTGACACGCCATGACACACCATGACATACCAGGAGACACAGCGACATGCCATGTCATGCAATGACACACCATAACATGCTATTACATGCCATGACACGCCACGGCACCCCATGACACGCAATGACATGCCATGACATGCAATGACACGCCATGACACGCAATGACACGCAATGACATGCCATGACACACCCCGACATGCCGTGACACACCAGGAGACACAGCGACATGCCACGACACACAATGACACACCATAACACGCTATTACACGCCATGACACGCTGTGACACGCCATGACACGCAATGACACGCCGTGACACGCAATGACATGCCATGACACGCTATTACGCGCCATGACACGCCCTGACACGCCATGACACACCATGACATACCAGGAGACACAGCGACATGCCATGTCATGCAATGACACACCATAACATGCTATTACATGCCATGACACGCCACGGCACCCCATGACACGCAATGACATGCCATGACATGCAATGACACGCCATGACACGCAATGACACGCAATGACATGCCATGACACACCCCGACATGCCGTGACACACCAGGAGACACAGCGACATGCCACGACACACAATGACACACCATAACACGCTATTACACGCCATGACACGCTGTGACACGCCATGACACGCAATGACACGCCGTGACACGCAATGACATGCCATGACACGCTATTACGCGCCATGACACGCCCTGACACGCCATGACACACCATGACATACCAGGAGACACAGCGACATGCCATGTCATGCAATGACACACCATAACATGCTATTACATGCCATGACACGCCACGGCACCCCATGACACGCAATGACATGCCATGACATGCAATGACACGCCATGACACGCAATGACACGCAATGACATGCCATGACACACCCCGACATGCCGTGACACACCAGGAGACACAGCGACATGCCACGACACACAATGACACACCATAACACGCTATTACACGCCATGACACGCTGTGACACGCCATGACACGCAATGACACGCCGTGACACGCAATGACATGCCATGACACGCTATTACGCGCCATGACACGCCCTGACACGCCATGACACACCATGACATACCAGGAGACACAGCGACATGCCATGTCATGCAATGACACACCATAACATGCTATTACATGCCATGACACGCCACGGCACCCCATGACACGCAATGACATGCCATGACATGCAATGACACGCCATGACACGCAATGACACGCAATGACATGCCATGACACACCCCGACATGCCGTGACACACCAGGAGACACAGCGACATGCCACGACACACAATGACACACCATAACACGCTATTACACGCCATGACACGCTGTGACACGCCATGACACGCAATGACACGCCGTGACACGCAATGACATGCCATGACACGCTATTACGCGCCATGACACGCCCTGACACGCCATGACACACCATGACATACCAGGAGACACAGCGACATGCCATGTCATGCAATGACACACCATAACATGCTATTACATGCCATGACACGCCACGGCACCCCATGACACGCAATGACATGCCATGACATGCAATGACACGCCATGACACGCAATGACACGCAATGACATGCCATGACACACCCCGACATGCCGTGACACACCAGGAGACACAGCGACATGCCACGACACACAATGACACACCATAACACGCTATTACACGCCATGACACGCTGTGACACGCCATGACACGCAATGACACGCCGTGACACGCAATGACATGCCATGACACGCTATTACGCGCCATGACACGCCCTGACACGCCATGACACACCATGACATACCAGGAGACACAGCGACATGCCATGTCATGCAATGACACACCATAACATGCTATTACATGCCATGACACGCCACGGCACCCCATGACACGCAATGACATGCCATGACATGCAATGACACGCCATGACACGCAATGACACGCAATGACATGCCATGACACACCCCGACATGCCGTGACACACCAGGAGACACAGCGACATGCCACGACACACAATGACACACCATAACACGCTATTACACGCCCAATAACACATCACAACAACATGCAATAACATGCAATAACACGCAATAACACATGATAAACATGCAATAATACATGATAACACACAATAAAACACAATAACACGTGATAACATACAATAACACATCACAACAACATGCAATAACACGCAATAACACATGAGAAACATGCAATAACACACAACACATCACAACACATGATAACATGTGATAACATGCAATAACACACAATAACATGCAATCACGTGTAACCACATGTAACAGCGCACAGGAACACGCAATAAGATGTAAGAACACGCAATAAGGCGAAACAGCCCGCGATAACACACGACAACACGCAGCGACACATGACAACATGCAATAACACGTCACAGCACACGATAACATACAAGAGCATGCAACAACACGTAGCATCATGTGATAACGTGTGACACGCACCAACACATAGCAACACGCAACACGATGCAAGAAGTGATGTCACGACATGCCATGACACGCCACAACATGCCATGACACGCCATGACACACCATAACACACAGTCACATGCCATAACACGCCCTGACATGCCCTGACATGCCATGACATGCCATGACACACAGCGACATGCCATGACATGCAACGACACACCATAACATGCTATTACATGCCATGACATGCCACGGCACCCCATGACACGCAATGACACGCCGTGACACGCAATGACATGCCATGACACGCCCCGACATGCCGTGACACACCAGGAGACACAGCGACATGCCACGACACACAATGACACACCATAACACGCTATTACACGCCATGACACGCTGTGACACGCCATGACACGCAATGACACGCCGTGACACGCAATGACATGCCATGACACGCTATTACGCGCCATGACACGCCCTGACACGCCATGACACACCATGACATACCAGGAGACACAGCGACATGCCATGTCATGCAATGACACACCATAACATGCTATTACATGCCATGACACGCCACGGCACCCCATGACACGCAATGACATGCCATGACATGCAATGACACGCCATGACACGCAATGACACGCAATGACATGCCATGACACACCCCGACATGCCGTGACACACCAGGAGACACAGCGACATGCCATGACATGCAATGACACACCATAACACGCTATTACACGCCATGACACGCAATGACATGCCGTGACACGCAATGACATGCCATGACACACCAGGAGACACAGCGACATGCCATGTCATGCAATGACACACCATAACACGCTATTACACGCCATGACATGCCGTGACACGCCATGACACGCAATGACATGCCGTGACATGCAATGACACGCCATGACACGCAATGACACGCAATGACATGCCATGACACACCCCGACATGCCGTGACACACCAGGAGACACAGCGACATGCCATGTCATGCAATGACACACCATAACACGCTATTACACGCCATGACACGCCATGACACGCCATGACACGCCATGACACGCCGTGACACGCAATGACATGCCATGACACGCTATTACATGCCATGACACGCCATGACACGCCCCGACACGCTGTGACACACCAGGAGACACAAGGACATGCCGTGACACGCCATGACACGCCATGATGCACCATGCCATGCAATAACACGCTCCGACACGCCCCGACACGCACCTGTGGCCGCTGGGGGGGGGGTGTCTCAGCCCGGGGTCCCTCCGGCAGCACCTGGGGGGGCACCTATAGGTCACCTATAGCCCCACGGACACCCCCTGGCCCTATAGATCCCCGCACACGTATGTGCCACGCGCACATGTGCATCGACACGCGTGTACACACCCTGACCTCAACATACGTGTACATATAGAGCACATATGGGGCGTACGTGCATCTACACCCCTATATCACGCCTATACACACGTATGTGCTTATATAGGCACCCCTATACACACGTGGGGGTTTATACATACGTGTGATACGCACTTGGACATATATGTTCCCCTATACATCCCTACACGCCTGCACATACATGTTTACACGCTCGCCTACGCACAAATACACGCGTCCACCGTATAGAGGGTCATATGGACACGTATGTACTCGTATGTGCACAGCAGGGGGCTGTAGAGATGGATGTATGTGTGATATATGTGCCCCTGTATGTGCATATGCACATATATGTGCCCATACGGACACGCACTTACATACGTGCACGTATGTTAGTCCGTGCTGCCCATATGGGTATATATCCACGTATATATGTACACGCTTATACACACATGTGTGTATGGAGTGACCCTATAGATCCGTATGTACATGGAACTACACGTATCCATAGGTGCACATATCTACTGCACGTATGAAGGGACCTATAGATTCTCGAGGTGCTCATAGGGGGCTGGGGAGGAAGGAACATATAGCTTACATACGTGTATATAGAGGGCTGGGGATAAAGGAGCGTATAGATATTCTATAGGTGCACATATAGGGCTGGGGGGAAGGGGCCTATAGATTCCATATGTGCCATATAGATTCTATAGGTGCACACTGAGGGCTGGGGATGAAGGAGCCTATAGATTCTATCCATGCCATATAGATTCTATAGGTGCCCATATAGGGCCGGGGGGAAGGGAGCCTATAGTTTCTATACATGCTGTATAGATTCTATAGGTGCACATATAGGGCTGCGGTGAAGGGGCCTATAGATTCTATAGGTGCACATACAGGGCTGGGGAAAGGGGCGTATAAATTCCATATGTGCTGTATAGATTCTATAGGTGCACATATAGGGCTGCGGTGAAGGGGCCTATAGATTCTATAGGTGCACATACAGGGCTGGGGAAAGGGGCGTATAAATTCCATATGTGCTGTATAGATTCTATAGGTGCACGCTGAGGGCTGGGGATGAGGGAGCCTATAGATTCTATAGGTGCACGCTGAGGGCTGGGGATTAGGGAGCCTATAGGTTTGATACATGCCATATAGATTCTATAGGTGCTTATATAGGGCTGTGGTGAAGAGGCGTATAGATTCCATATGGTTGTATAGATTCTATAGGTGCACATATAAGGCTGGGGATGAGGGAGCCTACAGATTCTATAGGTGCACATATAGGGCTGGGGATGAGGGAGCCTATAGGTTCTATCCATGCCATATAGATTCTATAGGTGCACATATAAGGCCGGGGATGAGGGAGCCTATAGGTTCGATACACACCATATAGATTCTATAGGTGCACATATAGGGCTGGGGATTAGGGAGCTTATAGGTTCTATCCATGCCATATAGATTCTATAGGTGCACATATAGGGCTGGGGAAAGGGGCCTATAGATTCTATAGGTGCACATATAGGGCTGGGGAAAGGGGCCTATAGATTCTATAGGTGCACATATAGGGCTGTGGTGAAGGGGCCTATGGATTCTATAGGTGCCCATGGGGGGTATTTAAGGTGCTCTATAGGTGCCCCACACCTCTCCAGCCCCCTCTAGAGGGGTCAATATGGGGAGAAGAGAGGCTGAACCCTATAGGTCTATAGGGGCCCCTTGACCCATAGATGCCGGGATCGGGCACGATGTGGGGCAGGAACGTATAGGGCCGAGGTGAGCTCTATGGGGGCTCTATAGGGCTGCTCCCTATAGGGGCAGGGGTGACCTATAGATTCTATAGGGGCTGCTGTGGGGGTGCTATGGGGAGAGCCTATAGGGCATAATATACTGCTCCGGGTGCCCCCAAATCCCCCCAAAACTGCCCCAAATCCCCCCAAAGTGCCCCC